AAACTTTAAGTTGGCATGACAAAGTGTATATACTGGTACAACTGACAGCTGTGTACCCAGTTTAAATGATCTTATTCTAAACAAGCTTTAAGGTATAGTTCATTCTGAGAACATTCTCATGATATATGGAAAAGTACAGGGCAAAGCAAAATAGAATGATTGATATTTTGTAGCCAGATAGGAATATTTAATATATAAAATGCGCTTGGATTTTATTTACAAACCCTCTTTGTCAAGCCCAGTACTCATTCAGGAAGTTGAGAGCATTGATGCAAAAGGAAATATAAGAGGTGCGTTTTTAATTGACAATAAATAATTATTAAAAAATGTTTTCAGGCTGCTCTATCCTCCCAGTGATATAATAATGTTTCATTTCCCTGAAGTATTCAGTAGTGGGAAAAAGCAACGGTCCATGAACCTTGCATAGAAAAGAAACACAAACACAAATCACTGTTCCCCTTTTCATTTGTTTTTGATGGCATTCGTTGTTTCCCTTTGAATCCACAGGCACAGCCAAAATACTATGGTGCAACTAAACTCCTTTATGGCTTTGAAGCGTATCATAGGAGAAGTATGCAGTAGAATCAGTGCCCTGCGGCCCGTCCCTCTGTTTCCGACCGTGCTGTGGTCAAAGACGAAATAGGAGCCATGGCCCCATAAGCCTCAGCTATGGCAGCCTGCCCCCCGAAAGAACAGAGCAACACTTGTGAGAAGAATCACTTGAAACAGGCTTACGTAATACAAACACAATTACTGATATTAAGCTCTGATGTCTGGAAGTACAGCCAAGAGCAACATGCTACTGCCTTTTCACTCTGTCCCCGGACTGCAGCGTGCAACAGGCCTCTGGGACTGCCAGGGCAAAAAGCAGGATACGGGAGATTAAGGGGAATGGATGATTGCTCTCAGTAAATCCAGCATGTTGCCCTGTAGAAAAATAATCTCTTCCTCAGTGGTAGTTGCCTCATTACATGCTCAAAATGTCCAGTTTTGGTGGTTTATGAAACTGAAACAGCAAAAATGTTCACATGCAAGATAATTAGTTGTGCAAATAAAAGTTGTAGTCTGGAAACAAAAATGGTCTTGGTCTTCCATTAAACCAAGGAACTGTGCTTTAATGAATGACCTTGTATATTGCTTTTTGTGGTCATGCTGATATGTTCTTCTCTTTCTGAAATCTCTGACACCTCTGTGCCTGATCTGACCCAAAAAGGGCTCTTCTATTGTTACAAGCTTGACATTGTAACAATAGCAGATGTTGGTGCTATATAGAACCATTTTCAAAAAGGTTCCATATAGAATCGTATACAATATAGATCCATTCTCCATCAATCGGAAGAGCTATTTCATGATGCAAACGATCTTTTAAGATGGGGTCCAATCTTATCCGCAAAGGACCGGTGTGGCTGCAGGTTTTCACTCCAACAAAGCAGGAGGTCACCTGATGAAAGACTGAGACCAACTGATTAAACAAGTAGAATCAGGTGTGCTCCAGCTTGTTTGGAGTGAAAACACTGGCGGATAAGATTGGACACCCCTGCTTTTAAAAGCCTCTTTGAGGGTTTAAAGGGTGGGAAACAGTAAAATACAGTTAGTCTAATCTAAGTTTTCTAATACAATTTTATCCATATACTTTGGCAGATCAACCTTAATAATTGCAGGACCCTCCACAAAAATTGGCATCCCTGGTAAACAGGAGCAAACAAAAATCTATTAACAAAAGAAACAAAAATCGAACCTTTTTTGAAGTACGATAATTTTAAAAACTAAATCTTATTAGGAAATAAATACTTTTTCTCAAATCTGTATGGACCACAATTATTTACACCCCTTCATTTAATACTTTGTGCAGCCTCCCTTTGCAAAGACTACAGCTCTGAGTCTTCTCCTATAACACTTAATGAGACTGGAGAACACATGGCAAATGATCTGAGACCATTCCTCCACACAGAACCATTGCAGATCCTTCAGATTCTGAGGTCCACGCTATCTTTGTGACCACACCAAACTCACCTCTGGTGTTTGTTGCCAAAAACCTCTATTTTGAACTCACTGCAAGTTCCAGTAATGTATGGCAAACTGTAAGCGCTTGAGTTTGTTGGTCCTTGACAGCAGAAGCTTTCTTCTGGCAACCCCCCAAACAACTTGTGGTTATATAGGTGGTGTTTGATTGTAGTTTGGGGGATGTTGTGACCCCAAGAACTAACTAATGTCTGCAGTTCTCCAGTTGTGATTCTTGGAGATTCTCTGTCCATCCTGATTACTGTGCATGGGGTCAGTATAGACATACGTCCTCTTCCCGGCAGATTCTTAACCTCTCCCTTTGTTTTAAGCTTCTTAAGCATTGACTGGATGGTGGAAATGGGCATTTTCAACTGTTTAGTTATTTTCGTATGGCCATTTGTGCAGCTCAACAACCTTTTGTCGCACATTGTTGCTGTTTTCTCTGGTCTTTCTCATAGTGATGAATGACTGAGGGAATTTGGCCTGTGTTGTACCTCATATATATATATATATATATATATATATATATATATATATTATATATATTATATATATATATATTTTCATTACAAGATTTTTTTTTCCTTTCAATTACCAATATTTGTGGTTGGCAATATCTAGGGAAGGACCAGGACGTCTGGAACAATGTGCTATGGCCAGGTAAGTCAAAGATAGAGTTGTTTGGCCACAGTACCAGAAGCCAGGTTTGGTGAACTTCATACAGAATGTTATGGTTTGGGGCTGCTTTGCTGCCTCAGAGCCTGGCCAACTCGCAATCATACAATAAACTATAAATTCTTTTTCATACCAGAGATTACTTGAGGAGAGTGTGAAGCCATCTACCAAAAAGTTCAAACTGAAGAAGTTGACTTCTAACAGGATAATGATCCCAAACATACAATGCAACATACAGTAAATCCACCAAGGAATGTCTCAAAAAGAAGTAATGGAGGTTTATGTAATGGCCCAGTCAAAGCCCAGATCCGAATCCCATCAAAATGCTGTAGGGGGGATTTTAAACAGGCTGTACATGCAAGAAACCCCCCCCCCCGGAATTTTTTTTCCCAGCAGATGCCAGAAATCGGTAAACAGTTATTGGCAATGCCTACATAATGTTGTTTCTGTCAAAAGGGGCAATATCAGTTACTGTAGCCAGGTGTGTACTTACTTTTTCAATTGAAAAAAGACACCTCAGTTAATTTATTTTTGAATAAATGATTGCAAAGTCAGATTTCCTTTGTTTTATTTTATTATATAATATTTATCTACATTTTATGGGTCTTTGCACATGACTGTATTATCTTTTTTTATTGTTTGTGTCAATCATGATACTGGCAGACAATTATAGTATGGAGGCATCACTGGGGACTTTGCTTTTAAAAAATCAAGAAAGAAAAAAATAAGATCATGATGTCCATGCTACTTAAACACATATTTTAACAAACACTTTGATCATGTTTATATGAGTATGTAACCCTGTGTGAGGGAGACTTTAAATGTTAAATAAAGTTAAAATAAAATGTATGATTCTCTAAGTGGTAACATTTATCAGTGTCTGTCACATTAAAGAAAATCTTTAAACGTTAAATTGCTGTCCTGCTTACAATTACTTGTGGACCAGTGAATGTACATAGTTTGGAATCTGTGAACATAAATGCCATAATCTAGAGCATTGTTTCCCAACCCTGGTCCTGGGGTACCCCTGCCCTGCACATTTTAGCAATTTTCCCGCTTGAACACACCAGATCTATAAAAGGAAAGTGACATGTGGTGGTGCTCTTTTCTGGAACATGATGATGAATATATGCTTTAGTAATGACCGTGTCTAATATAAACATGGTCTATGCACAACCTGCAGCTTTCATTATCTATATCATTAAAAAATAGATTGTTTAATGTAAATATGTAGCTTAAAGTTACACAGCAAAAAAAAAAAGATATTTTGGCAAGTGAAATCTTAAATCTAGTCAACACTGCTAAAAAAAAACTTTAACCATTAAAAGTTTCTGCTGGTTCCTGATTGTGTCCAGTAGTCGCTAATGGGTGTGTTTTCCTGATGGGTTGACATTACAGTGTGAAGGATTCTAATAGTTTGCACTGTTAGAAATAAAGATACTGTGTAGGTACACTTTTCATTACAGGGTACAAACAATGTAAATGTTACCTCAAAGGTATAACAGTGGTTTTAAGGTTCAATTGCGTACCATTAATATGTTTTTTTTGCAGGTGAAAAGTACATATTTGTACTTTTTCATCAGCAAATGTTTTTATAAAATAAAATAATAAGCCTGGAGACATTCGGGGTGTGTGGAATCAATACAACTTACAAAATATAATTTCAGTGGATTATGGTACGATTATGTTCCCTGACTAAAAGTACTGAGATGTTCCCTTGAGGGTACCACCCCAGTGACAGAAGGGGCACTGCCCCAGTGACAGTTTCATACCTTTTTTTCTGAGAGTGTAACAGGTGGAAACGATTAAGCCAATTCCCATTAGAAAGCAAAATCATCAGGTTTTAATCCAATTGGTACTAGCGGTTTTTTTCAGTGAATATACCCAACATTTGTCATTATGTTACAAGAATATTATAATGTTATTTATAACTTACTTCTATAACCTATGTGTTTTACCTGCTTTGAGTCAAAAGAAAATGCCATGCTATTAGCTTCAACATGACTACAGCAAGTAGCTAAAGAAGAAAATCACTTTGTCGTTTTGTCTTCAATTAAAGTCCTGTTCGTATGACGAGGGCACTATTTATTAACTTGTTTAGCTATCTGTATATTTCTTTATTTTGCACTGGGGCCCAAAAGCTTCTTGTTAGGCAACTAACCTCGCCTGTGGTGGCCTGTACTCTCAGGTCACGCTGCGCTCCGGGTACCAACGCTCTTCGCTGAAACTATAGCGGTTCTGTTTCAGGCTCTTCCACGTTGCGCCACTGTAGGTCGCCAAAGTCCAGCCCGCCCCTGATTTGGAGTCCGCCAGAGACTCCTCTCAATCCCACAATCCCAGCAGACCAAGTTTGTATTTATTTGAATGGTCCTGGCTTCGCCCAGTTTGTGAATGTGCATTAAATTCTAGCTGTCATCCTTCTAACGTACTGTTCCTGGTATTACATCGACACACTATCATCCTGGGATATTGCTTTAGAGAGCAGAGGAAGCTAAGCTAAGTTTACAAAAATGTCATGGTAAGGGTGCTTGATTGAGAAGAGTAGACTAGACTAGAGACTAGGCAGCCATATGTTATTGTCTAAGTTAGTTGTGGCTAGTTAGCTGCATTGTTAAACACTGCTTAACAGCTTGTTTGGTAGTTTGAACAGGGAGGTCTAAGACCTTGGTCTTAGAAGAGCAGCTGGTGGGACGAGCGGTTACATATAATTTTTGCAGAAATAGTGATTTGCCTTTTGTTTGTGTAACTTGGTTGCCTAAGTAGCAAGCTAATTAGCAAGCTAACGAATGAGACGGAGGCCGTAACGTTACATGACTTTGACGTTAGCTTCTTTCATCTAGTTAGTTAGCTAACGCTAGCTGATTCTCTGAGTGTTATTAACTGAATAGTGAGTTATCTGTTATTAGCAACTGTTAGTTTATAAGGACCAGGTTGAAAACCTTTATGCTGTACTTCCCATGGCCGCTAGCTTCACGTTAGCCGGAGAGCTAGCTGTAGTTGGAAACTCCTGTTCTTAAGGCACCGCTAGTGCTAGCTCTTGAAGTTAGCTAGCTAAGCCGACGCTTCGTGCAGGTGATAAACAACAGATTTTTTAGATTTTGCATTATTCACGTGTGCCACTGCTAGACACGGCCAGAGATATCCATCCAACATAAAATGTGATGTATTTTTGAATTAACGTTTCAAGCAAAGTGGTCTAGCTAAATTACGTTATTCCGTAGACGTGTTAATCCGAGGTAGAGACGCTCATGTTTGGTAGCCAATGTGTTTTTCAATACCGTCCATATCAAGATCAGTGGATAAACTTTGTCTTACTTTTGTGACAATGAGAGTAACTCACTTCCAGAGTTGGGCTAAATACTGTAAAAAGTAGTGATGACTGTTCCAAATGTATTCAGTAACATTTTTCATTACGATACATAAAGTAATGTATCCTGAATACATTTTGAATTTTTTTCTTTAGATTTTGTCTAAGAAGCATGTTTACTGCATGTTGTGTGTTTATTTTAAGATAGTTAATAATGGGTAAGTATTTTAGAAGTATTCTCCCAAAAATGTAAAAAGTAATTGCATTATGATATGAATGATGAGTATACTACCTTGGACTAAATACAAATACTCATTGTCTGCATTCTGAATACGTATTCCTCGTTCTTGTATTTCATCCCTGCTTTCTTCCTATGTGATCTGTGTTATTATGATATAAACATATATTTAGACTAATTTGCATTTTGATTTTTTTGATGCTCCCTAGAATCCCTGATTATGGCCACTGGAAACCATGTTGGGAATGATGAAGAAATCCACTGGCTCAAGCAGGCCCAGTCCCTTGGTCTTTTCAAACACAAGAGCTGTCTTGAAGATGAAAAGAACATGAAGGAGGTGAGTTCAGACAACTCAAAGTACAAAACTATACGTTGTATGATGGGACATGTTGGCTAAAAGCTGTCAAAGCTTCTTTTGCCGACTCGAGGAATACTAGTATTGCCTATCCTCTCTTTTTAGGTGGATTATTTAAATAAGGAAGAAATAGATAAAGAAAGGTGAGTTTTGAGCCATGGCCATAAGGACCTGTTTATCCTAACGTCTGCTTCCCTGAGAGAGAGCCAACTAATACAAAGACAAAGACATATTGCTGTTAAACATGTAAAAAAACAAAACAAAAAAAAACAAACAAAAAAACTTGCCGTGTACTCAGTTTACCCTTCATCTTAACAGATTTCCAGTGGGTCGTTGTGCACACAATTACGGCAAAGCAAAACGAGTGGTGAGCAAGAAGACACGACATTCAGCGGTGGGCTCTGGTGTACGCCGGAGAGAACCTTTAGTACACAGGTCCTCTGACATGGCAAACAAAGAAAATGAGCTGACATGTGCCGAAGATGTACATGGTATTCGCTATAATGACAACTGTGGGTTCCCTGTGAACTCAACAGAAGCCTCGAAAATGGCAGGAGCTGGCTCCAAGTATAGTGACTACTTTACTGAGGTGAGTTACCTTGGACTGCGCTAAGAGAAAGTGTGGGTAATGGAGATGACATTCCTGGAATTCTCCTGTTAAACAACTTCTGGTGAAGTTTATTTCTTAATGAATTACAGTTGTTTTGTCACATCTGTGGAATGCTGGCAGTTACCATGGACAGTCATTTTGCATCTGTTTGGAAAAGAATTGAAAACTTGACTCAAAACACACCTATAACAGAAGCCACTGGGCAGATGCTAAATTGTGTGATGTGTGATTAATGTTTTAAATAAGTGACTATATAATGCACATTTGGAACTACAACCTTTGCATTCCAAAATTAGAGGTTTAAAGTAGAGACAGACATGAGAATAGTTTACCAAACTTTCAAACACTGCAGCAAAACAGTAAAAAAGAATTCCAGTTGCTTTCTGGTATCTGTGCAGGACACCAGTAAAATCTCTGTCCACATTTCCACACTGGTAACAAATCAATTCTTGTAAAATGTAAACAAAGTTAAATAGCTTTAACTGAAAAATCCAGTTCTCAACTGGATTATAAATTTTATATATATATATATATATATACACACACACACACGGGTACATTATGTTTTACAGACTGTTTACAAAATGTTTACTGATGGAATTCAGCGAATGCTGGTAATGGTTTTGCATCAATGGTTTTTCCTTTCTAAGTGCAGAAAAACAATGTCTGGATTTGGAATTAACATCTGTGGTAATCAGTCGTACTCTACAGATGTCGCAGATAGAAATTAGGGTTAAAAACTGCTACAGTAGTCCTGTAAGTGCTTATTTTGTGTACTCGGTGTGGCTTAATACAAGTAGGCCAGTGGCTAGCTCTTGACGTTTGCCTGCCTTGTTTTAATTTACAGTCAGTGACTGCTAAATCTGAATTCTGTAAGGCCTGTGCTAATTTTGTTTTTCTGTGCTTTTAAGTTATCAAAGGACCATGATGCAATGACTCATGTGCTCTTCGGAAGGAATCTCAGATTAAATGTTGCTTTAACACTTTGGCGAAGAAGTGCTAGTGAATTAGTGGCTTACTTGATCAGGTAAGGAGTTTACAGAATTACATACCTTCACAACTGATTAATACATTAGTTTTTACAGGAAAGTCGTGTAGCCGTTTCCTTCTACAAAACATTCTTTATGTGTCAGGATTAAAAGTAGATGAAAAACCTACCTAACCCAATTTAAGTGTAAACAATGTATTCTGTATTTCTTTGAATTGTATTTTACAGAATACAAGACAGAGGCGTCCTTGTTGACTGTCTACCTGTACTTACTAAAAGGTAAATTAAAAACTGTCATTACCTAATTCAACTGTTTTATTGTGCAATTTATTAATCTGTAAGCGACTCTGGTCAGATTACATTTTGTTGATTTTTCTAAGTGATAATAAGTTAAGACATTCTCTACAGAGAACATGCTCCTGCACATTTTAATGCCTTGTTTTTTTGCTAAATTCAACAAACTGGAAAAAAATAACGTAAAATCTGGCCTGTGCAAAAGTCATTTTTTAAGTGTTATGTTTTTTTTTCCCTTCCCTGAAAGTGAACTTAGCAAATAAATACAAACTGTGCAGTAATATTGGCAGAAAAAGGCCATATTTAAGTTTGTTGTCTGTAGAGGATGTGGTACCTTATTTGTGCTTCAACAAAACATGTAATTTGACCAGGGGTGTTGATTTTTTTTTGCATACATCCGTGTGCACAGTATTATAGATATTTTCCCCCCTTTATAGCCTTCAAGAAGAACAGCCATGCATATCTATTGGTTGTTGTGTGGACCTTTTACCACAAGTGAAGACAATTCTACTCAGTAAATATGAAGAGTAAGTAATAAATCATTGTGGAAACTAGATCCAGATTGATTCGCTGTGTATATTTTGGTTATTCTCTAATTGTGTTCTTTTCATTTGTTCAATGTAGGCACCTCATTGTGGCTTTACACTGGGTTCAATCGGTCATCAAGAAATGGTGGCCTGAGCTCTACTCAGATGGCAAAAGATTGCAGGATGGCTGTTCAGATGACAGGTAGTGCTCCATTTTTTACAATACTGTTTCGTATAGCGTACAAATGGCGTAAAAATCAGATGTTTACCCAAATTTTGTGTGAGAAATATACTGAAAGCATGTGTATTCCAGGAATGTTCAGGCCATGAGAAGGCAGCTTCTTGAACTCTGGGATGAAAAGAGTCAACTAACATCAGTCCCCGGACCCGTGGGTGAAATAACCAAGGTTTGGTAAAATTTTTCACGTGCATTTTGAAGTAATACACTGCAGCCCTCTAAGTCTCATATTTTTCCTTTATTTTTTCCTCTCCAGGCTATTGAGTCATATCTCTCACAATTACGCTGATGTATCAATGTAGCACACTGAGGAAACGACCACTACACGCACTTGCTGCAGATCTCTAAGCTGCTCCTTGAGAAACTGCAGCCAAATGAACTGAATCTTTCTATCGCTCCAGATGAGGAAACTGTGGTGAATGGGGAGATAGATGAACTGAACAATTCAGACACTCCCTGCATCAGAACTGGAGACATGTCTTAAAGGGTGAAAGCCTTCCTGCAAAACTTTGAATGACTGCTTCACATTGAAGTGGACTTTATTGCTTAGTGGCACACATTCAACTCCATGAGACTGTATGGAATCGGGCAACTCACAGAAGTGCCAAGCAGAAGTTTTAGCTGTCACACTTGTAGTGCCATGGTGTGCATCTACTGAAGTGGATGTGATGTGATGTATCATGTCTCTGGGCCTCTGACACACCTACTTTCAGTGAAGAATTTGAAGTCCAGCAGTCTTAAATTATTAGAGCGTTCAATCTTTTTTTTTGCCTGTTCATGGATGAAATGTTTGTGTGCGTGTGTATAAATGGTGATTTTTCTTTTAATCAACTTCTGAATAAATTTACAAAATCAGCCAACACAGTTCATATTTATTATTATTAGTATTATTATTAACATATTGCTGCTGTCTGAACAAAACCTCTTCTCTCCATTTTTGCCATTTTTCAGTTTTAAACTATTTATAAATACCATTTATATTGTGTGTAATTTTCATGATGAATGGACCAAAAGAAACGGCCCAAATTGTCTTTTTTTGGGGGGGTGCGGTTCTGGTTCCATTGACTTTCATTAAACTTTTTTCTTTCTCCTGTAAAGTTATTATTTTGGAGATAGGAGGTTTTGTTCCAACAGCAGCAAAATATAAAAGGGGGATGTTTCATAAAGCAGTTTAGGCAGATAACTTAAGCCTAAAGTCAAACCTGTTCAATAGGAAAATTATCAGAGGGACATTCCTATTAGACCATCCTCAATTTTGGGTTTAAGTTATCTGGCTATTTAAGAAATCCTGCTTTGTAAAACATTCCCTGCTCTTTTGAGAGAAGATGGCTATATAGTGACACAGAATAACCTTTGCTACCATTGGACACAAGGGAAAAAACACCCACAGCTGAGGAGGTAACTTGGTAACTAGCACAAACTTGAACAACTGCATGTGTGTTTGTGTAAGATGCCTCATTTCACCCTTAACAAGCTTTTTACTGAATACAGCAATAAAGAAAATGGGACAAAATGGCCAACAGGTGAGTGGCCTATAAGGTATGTACAGTGCTGTGAGAAAGTATTTGCCCCACCTGATTTCTTCTATTTGTGCTAATTTGTCACATTTAAATGTTTCAGATCATCCAACTAATTTTAATACAAGATAACACAAGTGAGCAAATTGCAGCTTTTAAATGATCATTCTATCTCCTGTATCGCCCATGTGAAAAAGTAATTGTCCCTCTAAACCTAATAACTTTCAATAACTTGTGATGAGTCTTTTACATCACTGTGGAGGAGTTTTGTCCCACTCTTTAAAGAATACTTTTAGTTTGGCAACATTGAAGGGTTTTGGAGCATAACCTGCCCGTTTAAGGTCTTGGCACAGCGTCTCAATGGGACTTAAGTCAGGACTCAGCCACTCCAAAACCTTAATTATGGTTCTTTTGAGCCATTCAGAAAGAGATTTGCTTGTGTGCTTCAGGTCATTGTCCTGTTGCAAAACCCAACTGCACTTGAGCTTTAGGTCACGAACTGACAGGTGGACATTCTTCCTTCAGAATTTTGTGATAGAGAGCAGAGTCCATGGTCCCATCAATTATGACAAGTCGTCCAGCTCCTGCAGAAGCAAAGCAGCCCCAGACCATCACACTACCACCACCATGTTTGACTGGTGGTATGATGTTCTTATGGTGGAATGCAGTGTTAGCTTTACACCAGATGTAAACAGGACCCGTCTTCCAAAAAGTTTCAACTTTAAATCAATATGCCAAAAGTTGGAGTCATCTAGATGTTTTTTGGCAAATGCAAGATGAGCCTTTGTGTTCTTTTTGGTCAGCAGTGCTTTGTGCCTTGCACCTCTCCCACGGATACTGTTTTTGCCCAGTGTCTTATTGGGAAATCATGTACATTGACCTTAACTGAGGCAAATGAGGCCTGTAGCTTATTTAGATGTTCGTCTACATTCTTTTATGACCTCCTGGATGAGTCGCTGATGCACTCTCGGCGAAATTTTGGTAGGCCAGCCACTTCTGGGAAGGTTCACCACTGTTCCAAGTTTACTCCAGTTGTGGATAATTGCTCTCACTGTAGTTCGCTGGAGTCCCAGAGCCTTAGCAATGGCTTTGTAACCCTTTCCAGACTAGAAGATTTCAGTGACTTTATTTCACATCTGTATTTGAATCTCTTTAGAACGTGACATTATGTGCTGCTTTTTGGCCAGACAGGTTCTATTTAAGTGATGTTTAGATTTACCAGGTCTGTCAGTAATCATGCCTGGGTGTGACTAATGCAATTGAACCCAATAGGCAATTGAATTTGGTTAACTTGTTGAGTTAGTAGCTAAGGGGGCAATTACTTTTTCACATAGGGCCAGGTAGGGCTGAGCAGCATTTTTCCTTAAATAAAAATATTATCATTTACAAACAGCATGTTGAGTTTACATGGGTTATCTTTGTCTAACATTAAAAGTAATTTCATGATCTGAAACATTCAAGTGTGACAAATTTGAAAAGAAATAGAAGAAATTGGAAGGGGCAAATACTTTTTCACAGCACTGTACATCACTCACAGTATATATCAAATGAATGTATTATGATATTTTATGTATTAGCAAAAGGATCTCCGTTCATCATTGCTGTTACCATTACTGTTTGGTTTAATGGCACCGCTACACCTGCTCATCCAATGTTTCAAGAGGAGTTTTTCCCCCTTTGCTGCAGTAACAGCCTCTACTCTTCTGCATATGTTAGAACATTGCTGTGAGGATTTGAGTGCATTCAGCCACAAGACGATCAGAGCAGTCAGGTTCTGATGTTGGATGGTTACTTCTGGATCACAAACTCCACTCCAAGTTCCGTCATTACCAGAGAACGCAGTCCCACTGCTCCACAGCCCCAATGCTGGGGGCCTTTATACCCCTCTAAATGACTCATTTACAGGGGTGCAGCTCAGGCGCAGCTGCTCCAGAGCGTCCCATTCTGTTGGTCAGTACCTTTTTACAAGATTATACAAGATGGGTCTGTGTTAGCAGTAGGGCCTTAAAGTAGTTGAATTTACTGATTGAAGGGGATCTCTGGATGTGTTTGGACATAGTTTTCGTCTTGAGTGCAGCAGTTTTGAGGAGAGGGGCATCAGAGTAAACGCCATCACGTGGTATCCTGTAGCTCGTAGATACACTTCCGCTATTCAGCTTCGATGCTCTGTCTCTGTAGTAACTTACAGAGAAACCCAGACAGATCAAGAAATAAAATATTATCTTTTTTGGACATTAGAACAGCGTGTATCGTCGTGTATCTAACGCGATGCAGCATCTCAGAAGGTTGCTAGATGCTTATTTCGTGTTGCAGTCCGTGTTTGTGTTGTCGCGGTGTTTCTCTGAACCGGAGCCGGGGCCTAGTGCTGCGTCCCCGGCGAGCGGAGACCGCTTTAAGATCGAGGGAAGAGCCATCGTTCCTGGCATTAAACCTCAAGAGTGGGTGTCTTCAGCTCGGGTGCTTGTAGAAGGAGGAGAGTATGTCGGGTTCTTAAGGTAAGCTTTCATTAAACTGGTGGTCAGCCAGACATAATACCCGCTGTGTTCCCAGACCAGCAGCTAGTAATGTTAACGCTAGCCGGCTAACTGTTAGCTAGCTATTCAATGACACCCGTAGAGATGTGTGAAAAGCAGGGAGTTAAATGATCCTCTGAAATATTAACGTTAACCTTAAGTTGCCTGCTTGGTCCCAACTGACGTCGCACGCCTGTTTGGCCTAAAGCATGGTCATTCTAAATATATACCGACTGACCACTTCATTAGGTAACGTTACCCCTCATTGCATCGTCCGTTTTGTCACTTCACTTACTATATGGATGTGCTTTGTAGTCCATTTGTTTTTCTGCATACTTTGTTAGCCCCCTTTTACCCTGTTCGTCAATGGTCAGGACCATCACAGAGCAGGCATTGTTTGTGTGGTTGATCATTCTCAGCACTGCAGTGATACTGCTGGACTGAGAATAGTCCACAACCAAAAATATCCAGCATCCTGTGGGCAGCATCCTGTGACCACTGATAAAAGACTAGAGGATGACCAACCCAAGCTGTTCAGAAAAAGTCTCTGACTTTACATCTATAAGATGGACCAACAAAGTAGGAGTGTCTAATAGAGTGGACAGTGAGTGGACACAGTGTTAAGAAACTTCCAGCAACACTGCTGTCTGTGATCCAGTCTTACCAGCACAACACACACCAACACACCACCACCATGTCAGTGTCCCTGCAGTGCTGAGAATGATCTGCCACCCAGATGGTCCTGTGGGGGTCCTGACCATTGAAGAACAAGGTGAAAGGGGGCTAACAAAGTGTGCGGAGAAACAGATGGACTACAGTCTGTAATTGTAGACATAGAAAGTGCATCTGTATGGTGAGTAGAGCTGATGAATTGGCAATGAGCGTAGATACATAGTGAAGTGGCTGGTCAGTGTATATCACTAAGAGATAGGGTTGCCACTTTAGCCATGTAAAATTCCTGGACTCTCAGTGACTTGATTTTTAACCAAATTAAGTGGACAGGTAGCTGTGCTCACAATGTAGTCTGAGGTAAATAAATGTCAGTTCAGCTACACAATCTGATTTTCTCAGTTATTGCATTGCAGTGCTGCCATATGTCTGAATATGTCACCATGTTGAAGGTAATCTGAACTAAGCAAAGCATTCTTTGTTTGATTGGATAAAAATAAGTGTAAACATCATAAGAAATACTAATATATGAAAATGCCTGGATGGAATTATTTTTTCCCTGGACAGACAGCCAGAAACCAGGACAATATCCAGGGCAGTTCTGCATGGGTGTCAACCCTAAAAAAAGGCTAATTTAGATCAGACTTCTTCCGATAACAGGTCACATGGCTGTGATTAGCCACCAGTATAAACAGCAACGAACATACGACAGTCCAAAATATCTGATCACAAGCCCTATTACACTTATTAGCTATGTTCGAAGGCAGGAGTGTCCAATCTTATCCACAAAGTGCCGGTGTGGCGGCAGGTTTTCCCTCAAAACAAGCTGGAGCACACCTGATTCCCCTTGTTTAAGATTGGTTTCAGTCTTCAAACTGGTGATCAGATGGTCTCCTGCTTTGTTGGAATGAAAACCTGCAGCCACACCAGCCCTTTGTGAATAAGATTGGACAGCTACCTTCTAAGGTCTTTCATTCAACATATAAAGGACTAGTTTTCCCAGACAAAGATTAAGCCTAGTCCTGGACTGCACATCATTTGGAATGGTGAGTATCTATTGTAATGAAAATATTGTCCATGATTAGGCTTAAGCTGTGTCTGAGAAACTGGCCCTAAAAGGACAGCCAAAAGAGCCCACCCTTCAGCCTTTTCCCCC